GATGGAACAGATTTCACTCTACTTCTCCAATGTCAGAGTAATTTTAAGTGACTAAAGACAACTCAAATTTTCAGCCTAATAGGTGGTTTCTCTGCTACTGTATTAAGGACATTGTCTCAGATCAGTAGCCAGTGCCAAGCCTCAACGCAAGGCTCCTTTCGATTACAGATACAGCTTACAAGTGTCCAAGGGGAACAAAGTGTTAACCAACCTGAAAATAAGATTCCATAGCTTTGAGGTTAGATACACGTACACATGATACTTCAAGAATTGCTTCCAGAAGAGACTGGTTTAGAACAGCTCCTGCTGCCTTGGCTATAGAAAGAATTTGGCTGATGGCCGTATTGCTGCCTTTAACACGAATGTCAAGTTCAAATCTAATCTGCAGGAAAATTTTGGACTGACGGGCAGTCCTGTCACCAGGATTGTATTTGCCAACATCAACTCAAACACTCTCCTGTTTTGATCTGGTGTACTGAGCCCAAGGATGTGCTGTCCAATGCTGGATTTTGAGTTTCATTTCCACACTTCTCAGCAAATCAGAGGCATAATTTCTCAAGGCTCCACAATTCCGCTTATCTGGATTACCTCTTTGAAACTGTTCTGAATGACCTCTTTTAAACTGTCAGCACCAAACGAGTGATTCCTGAGCTACCTTGATACTTACTTGATTTCCAGCAGGAACAGCAGATAGAAGCACCTGTCAGGACTGAGCATCACAGGAACATCCTCTCTCTGATATTCAAAGTGGTCCACCTACATAGAAACGTATTGCTGCTTTCATCCAACAAACTGAGCAGGGATGGGAAGAAGCAACAACATAGAGCTGACCCTTCCAAAAATTGTTCATTAAAAAATATACATACCTTGCAATGTTGCTGTCATGCCACCGTAAGTAACTTATGATACAAAAACAGGAGAGTAGTAAATGCAATATAATGTGTAATATATACAATGTGTTTGCTTATTCAATATAGGGTTTTTTTAGCAAAGTTTACAAAACTGCACCAGTCACCCTAAAATAAAAAGAGAACCCAAGGCGGTGTTGCTGCAACCCACATCTCTGTACTCACCACAGATAACTCCTCTATCCCCCGGATGCTCAGTGCTTTGTGCAGTTTGGCTGCAAGACAGAACTGCCTCCAGTTAGAGTGACACCTTGGCTCAGCTTGACAGCGTTACTTTCCTACTAAGTGTAATGAATGGGAGAGATGCACAGCCTAAACCAGGAAAGGCATATTTTAAAATCTCAGTTTATTTCATTGCAAATATGGTAATAGTGTTTTGGTCAAAACTGAGGAATATTTTAAAGGCTATTATAATTTTGTATTTTTCTGTTATTACAGCTGCAAACTTACTAAGTGTTCTTTGGTGTTATACACTCAGGATGTCTCTTACAACTCCTCTGTTGGCAGTGTTTTCTCTAAATCAAAGTATATTAGATACTAAAGTCCTAGAAAAAGTCTAGCTTGGCTCAGGCTTAGTTGGCATGGCCCCTGAAAGATACTGTTCTAGAGAAAAAGACATGCAGAAAGGATACATTAGGTTTTCAACAACCTTCATAGTCAAAGTATCCCATACCACTATATATGGGAAAATTTCCTTGAGATAAAGGAGGCCCCATTGTACTGCTTTCACAGTGTTTGTTACAGCCCCCTTGCTTGCTTGCTGCTCAGTACTTACACAAAGCTGTTGGTTTCCTTGGAGCCAGCAGAATTAACATAGTCCAAATTTCTAAGAAGCAGCAATTACTCTGAAGAAGTTTCAAGAGCAAACTTAGTTTAGTAACTGTGAGGAGCATTTCTGAAGCCATCACTACCTGAGACTGACACAGTTGGTATAACCCCTAGCTTACTCACAATGGAGCAGCCCAGTTTGTAAGACAAATCACGTTTCCTAACGTCCTTATTAGGTATCAGGAATAAGTACTTCACTATGAGAGTGCGGAGACACTGGCACAGGTTGCCCAGAGAAGCTGTGGCTGCCCCATCCCTGGAAGTGTTCAAGGTCAGGCTGGATGGGGCTTGGACCAACTTGGTCTAGTGGAAGGTGTCCGGGCTCATGACAGGGGGTAGGAACTAGATGATCTTTAAGGTCCCTTCCAACCCAAACCAGTCTGTGATGATTCTATGAATGCTTCAGGAGTTTCAGAGAGTTTGATTACATTTGTACTATAATTAAGTTGCATTCATCCTTGCTTACCACCACCAAATTGATCCAGAATCGTAACCCAACAGCTGAGCAGACACAGCGGCCACAACTGGGCAAACAATGGCTTTAACACCAATGACCTCAACAACTTTGCTGACGTACAAAAAGACTTCTGAATGAATACTTAAATACAGAAAGTTTTGCACCACAAAAAACCAAGACACAGTTGAGAAGTTCCAACAAACTCACTCTAAATGAAGAGGCAAGTAAATTAACTGTGTACTTGTGATTGTAAAACTACTTCGCTTGAGGGGAAATTCTACTTGGCTTGTGAACATCTGAAAGGCTTCAGAAGATTAATTAAATAATCCTATGAAAAACACAGTTGTTCCTTAATGCTCCCCATAATGAGTAATACTAATCATGAATATACACTCTACTCAGTGTGTGCTTTTGGAATTATTTTGACGACTGTAACTGTAGTTGAAATACTACTTCTTGCATCAGAACCGCCTAGGTTTTATTTTTGGAGGGATTTATCAATTGAAGAACTCAATTTATTCACTGCTTAACCTCTGATGCTCTTATTTATTTCACTGTTAAGGGAGGACCTTTTCAGGAAAGCCTACAGAAATAAAGAATCTATAGATGAGAAATGTAGTGTTTCTGTTTTGTTTTGTGGTTTGTTCCCCCTCAGCCACCTCTAGAGTTCCGAGAGGACCACCCAGGGTCAGAGAAGCTGTGACCTTTCATAAAAGATCCACTGCTAGATATTCAAGGAATCCCTATTAATTGCAAACAAAAATGCGACAACAATTAGAGAACTTAGAGCAAGAGAGAACAATGAAATTTCATGCCCAGTTGGGTCCCTACCAGACTTGCAGACAGTTCAAGGCGAAGTGTTGCATTTGCAATGCCCTCTCTAACCAGTGCCTTGAGCATGCCTTGGAATTACTGTGATCTGTACATCAACACAGTTATAACAAACACAACAAACAGAGGTGTAACAGCCATACCCCAAAGCCCAGCTATGCTGCTTTAGCTCTAGTTACCACAATTCAAGTATAAAAACAAAGCAACAAAGGCTGCCAGCCTCAGGATGAGGATGTGGGCCAGGACTTCAGTGAAGGTAGCCAGTATCCTTTCACTATTATTGTCCTGTGCTCACTAAACATTGTGCCTTATCTTATACCACAATTACACATGGCTTCTTTGCTGTGCAGGTGTAACTAGTCCAGTTGTAGTAACTGACTAGATAAATTACAACTCCTTTAAGACATGATATTTTTTTCATCTACATGGGTTTTGCCTTTAAATACCAAATTAATACTAGGCTGGCATCAATACCTTCTTCCTACAAGTGATACTAAGCAACTGCTACAAAAATAAATCAGAATCACTGATAACCCAAGTTCTTACCCACATTCATGTCCCACATTTGCAAGTATCTTACTTTATGGAAATCAGAATTTAACACAGTAAATACATTGCAAGTTCACCAACTCTGAAAATTAAGAAAGAAATGTCGACGCGGTACTTGTCCTTTTTTAAACAAATATTACAAAATTGAATTTTATTGAGTTTCACACAAGATGCACATATAAAATCGATACAGAATGTCATTCAACAGAAAAAAAAAAATGAAAGCAATTCCAAGCTTTCTTTAGCAACTGCTAAATAATTCAAAAATAAGATACACCAAATTGACAGATAATCTGAATTTCAATGTGTGAACATCTCCAATTAGTATAAAATACATCAAAAGTTAGAGTTTCAGATTTTTCCCCAGCACAAGTCCTCTTCTTTTTACTCTCATCCCTGAACAGTAACCACAGATTTTGGCTGTTCCTCCAGCTACTCTTGATGGGAGAGGAGAGGCTGAAAGACTGCAGCAAGATGTTCCCTCCAGAGCAGAGCATGCTCACCTGTATGGCAAATCTCATTACCAAGTCTGCTCAGGTACATGATAACTCTGTCCCGCTGTGTCCACTTGTTATATTACTGTAGTCCTGCAAGTTTCAGGGATTAGCATACACATTAAACTTTCACATGTTCATAAAGCAAATAAACTTTGGCTTTCCCACTCTGACAAATTATGAAATCAGCAAAGAGCAAATTTTGCCTTAATTTGTTCAGCACTGAAATACTTTTATGACACTTTCCCTTGGAAAGTGAAACTAGTGCTTACTTAAATAGTTGAAAGGCATTTGAAATTAATGCTGTGGTTTACAACAATTTATCATTAACTACAAGGTGTCTTCTGATACAAGTCTCCAGCCTAAATTTTGAGCTGAAATTCATTCCATTCTTGGTCTGAGGATTCTAAACCATCTTTCATCAATTCTCCCACAACTGCATTTCACACCAGAAATTTAGATGCATTATAATGCTTAAAAGCTTTTTATAGATCTAGTCTATCTACTTAAGTGTGGCTAAACCCAATCAATTACAGTAGATCATTTTGATCTGATTGTCAGTAGGAGCTTTTATTGCATGTTCTCAGGCATGTTTAAACACAGATGTCACTCTTATCAGAGTTAAACCCAAAATGCAGTGTAATACTCTTTTCTGCTGTGTTAATGCCATACATACAGTTCCAACACAACACTTGCTGCAATTAACACTGCCTTTCCTCAAAATATACAAGTGCCCCTTTATTATTTTTTCCTACAGCAACAAAAAAATCCTCAGCTTTTAAAAATCATTTGATAAATAATTTGCCTTGTAGGACACACAACACAAAAAATGAATATGCTTCATATTTGCCCAGTTAAGCAGAACCTTCATTACTGTGATCTTTCCTTTATGTTCAGTATTTGGACAAAATAGTATGCAGTAAGTCTTTCATTTAAAGGCAAAATTTTATTCTGATTACAAGATTTTCAAGATACATCTTGAAAAGATTTCTGTTGACAGGAGTAACTATCTTGACTTACTGTTTTATGTACCAATGTTTTATGCATTTGTTGATATAAGCACAAGTTTTGGATTCTGCTTGCAGATGTTTAATAAAACAAGGTAACTGGAAAGGCAAGCTCCCGCTCAAGTTGCATACATTTCCAGGAATATCCTTACACTGGAGGAACCTTCAGGAAAGTCGTATGTTCTGGAAGCACGGTTTCATAACGCAGAACAGGCTTATGCTTTTTTCCCAGTCTATTTTCCAGAAAGTGATACTGCAGCTCTGCCACCAGGCTAGAGACTCACGATCCAGCACATTTTCCAAGAGGCAAGTTAAAGATCACTTACTTGACCTGACCAGATACCAAGCCAAGTTACTTGTAGATAGAAATTAATATTTTTTGCCATTAATAATTTAAGTTTTTAAATAAATATTTATGTGCCTTTTTTGGCAACTGTCCATTCTGGTAGCATTTGCTGTCCCAACAGCTCAGTATCCTTAGCACATTGATTAAAATAAAAAAATCTTAGTCAATTCTGTTTCCACAAATAGTAAACCTGTCTATCTCCAGCAAGTCTTTCTTTGCAGACCTGTGTTTTAATTCTGAACTGTCTTGGCTTATATCTTTTTCTTCTCCATCAGGAGTTGTCAGAAATTGATCAGAATTGCTTGTTACAAGTAAAGACGGTGAGTTCTCCTGGTGCACAGGTTGACTGGTAACTGATGTAGAGCCATTTTCATCTGTGGAAATTCCTGTTGGAACAGGAGACAGTAACAAAGATAATCATGAATTTAACACAGACATACTGACACACCTATGACATCCAGATTCATCCAAAGCTGGTCTGAAAAGTGTGCTTCATGAAATCAACAGAAGCAACAAAAGAATGCTTGGTGGAAGCCACTACCTCTTCTTAGTTTTACTCAAAGAGATTTCCTTTTCTAACTGTGTGAAAGGGTAGAAAATGAATTCTACAGAAGTTCAGATAACAAGCGAGAGCATAAGCAGTAGATGTCAGGACATAAACTGCATTCTTCTGGTTTGCATACTCATTTTTGTTGGCTTAGGCAAAAAGATTTTTGACAGTCATTGTGTGAATCACACAAATACTTTCTACTGAAATGAAGAAAAGGAAACTCTGTAGTGGGAACTAGATGTATCTAATCGTCTACATAAGCACAATAAACTTGTCTTCTCTAGGGATAGCTAATAAATTACTCATGCACTGCTACGCACTTTAATAGCACTGGCTCCTAAAGCTGTTCTATTAAAGATATCTATTTTTATTCCTGCCTCTTACTTCAGTGGAATCGCACATCAGCCCCATTAACTCAAGATATTTGTAAGTAATATCCATGTATTATTTCCACATTTTGTTACAACATTTAAAGAATTAAAATGCACAATAACAAGGAAATAATTTTTTCTTATTTACTATTTCCTCATAAGGACTGAGTTATTGTTTCTAAACGAAGCTGAACAAATCTGACTAATGAGGAGAGTACTGCAGACCAGGCCAAGAGAACATCGTTTGTCAGAACGGCAGCACTATCCAAATTGCTACAAAAACTTCTTTCTGTATAGCATCTCTTCACAGGATACCATCTACTCCTTGAAGGTAGATGAATTACTCCCCTCAGTCTTATGCAAATCAAAGGTACAAAACCTGCACTGAGAAAGGAGACAAGTAATGCTAACTGCAGAACTTCATTACAACAGTGAGTGTTTTCCAACACAGCAGCTTCCAGAGAGAGCTGGTCAGCCTATAAATGACTATCAGTGATTGAAACTTCCACCTTGCAAGAGCAAGTATGAAATTTTATCCTTCAAAATTTTAAACTGTGTCTGTGGTCGAGGTGGAAACTCTAAGGAAAATGAACTGACTTACATTATAAGCTGACAGAAAAGTAGACCAGGTTAATTCCCTCACCCTCATACTAGTAAGAGATGGGCTGAGAGACTGTACTGAAAAAAATGTGGTAAGTGGGGCACAGGGATTAACCAGTATTGCAGAGCTCTGCAGTAATAACGCAAACACAGAAAAGCTGGGTAAGGTAAAATTAGTCTTTCACACAACTGACATTTCTAATAAATAAAGAGATGTTAAAAGGTATAACCACCTCAAAAAACTATTAGAAATTGAGCTTTTTCATCACCAATGAAAGTTAAGAATATTCTAAATAAAAATCAGGAAAATCTTTTTGACTGCTACTTTTCAATCAAAATCTTTCCATTTGTGGAAGTAACATTGCTGCTGCCTGACCTGGTAAAACTGCTGCTGCTTCAGCTAAAAACAGTCTTCAGTACTTATTTGTTGTGAGTAACTTTAAGGGTTAATCTAAGTAAGTACAACTTATTCAATGTCATATTCAAGTGTAGTATTACCATTATGACAATCGACTTATGAAATGTAAAAGACATTCAGACCCATTCGTATTATGCTCTTTCATCATGAAATGAAGCAACTCAATGAATTTACCTATTTAAAAATAAACATCTGCACCAAGTTTCTGCCTGATGTGATTTGACACAGGTGAGATGCAGAGATTTATGACTGAAACACCTGACACATTCATAATTCTACTATTGCTGGCGAGGCACTATCATGACTAATAAGCACCTTACATTTCAAGCGTTTCAAGTCTTTGGCAAGCAATAGAGTGAACACAATAAAAAGCGCCACTGTTAAGTTTTCTAGGGCTCTCATTAAGCTTTTCACAGAGGAAGATATACAATCCAATTCAGTTAACTGGAACAATGAAGGTTTCTGTTTCCTTCTATAATGTGTCACAGGAATAGAATAATGCCCCATTCCAGTTATATATTAACCACTAAATACTGAAGACCTATAGGAGAAAGCCATGCTGCATAGACTTGAAATGAAGCGAGCAGACCAGCTGAAATTCCAATTTGGATTTCATAAAGGTTTTGGTTAATGTGTTCATGACAACTACAAGTAATTATACCTATTGTGTGCCACGTTTTACGTTAATTTCCAGAAGAAATGCATAGACTGCTTCCTTATTAAACTTCAGCACTGCCAGAGATGATGCGTAAATATTTACTGATTTGTGTAGCGAGATGGCCGGGGCAGTTGGACCAGATGATTTTTAAAGGTCCCTTCCAAACCAAATCGTTCTATGATTATGATTTTCAAACAAAAGTATGTTGCTGTTTTGATGTTTCTATCACCTTCACCTATCAGGGTGGGATTTTATGAGAGATGAGTATTTATAACCAAAAGATGATGCATGGACTAAAAGAAATAAATTCTATTACATTTACAGGGTTGTGTTCACAGCTGTGATACAGTACAATTAAGGTCCAGCAATAGCACTACTGTGCAGCAAACAATGTCCTACATCTGGTTTACTACTAAATTTAGTCTGAAAGCAATTTCAGCTGAAAACATAACAAGGCAGTTAGCCTTACCTTGGGTAGATTTAAACGTGCTCTGCTGTTTGCCAGCTGGCTTCCCTGGGGTGGCAGTCAGGACAGGATTGAATAATTTCTCCTCCATTTTTGCCTCCTTTACATATTGACATGATTTCCCCAGCAATACAATACTGTTAAGGACTTTCAGCGATATTAACCTGGTAAAAAGAAAAGGATTTGTTTATATATTTGCATTAGCATAATAAAATAATGGCATATTATTCATACTGCAATTATTCATATTAAAATAATTGCATATGGTTACTGCTGTCTTGGAAGGATTAGCTAACAAATTAAATCCCTTCTATGGCAAGATCAAAAGGTAATTTCCTTTTCCTAATAATTTGTTTCAGATACAATGCTTAATGTTTTGTTTATTTTCTTTTTCAGAAGGTTTTCCATAAATTACAGGCTAATCATAAAAAGTCCTTTTTCACATTGCAAAAGACAGTCAATAAAACCCAACAAATCCAGACAGGCAGTAATGCATTACCATCACAGCACAGGCCAGTTGACAGCAGATTCCTTTTCTATTATCACTAATCTGCACACAGACTTCAGCTAATCATTGAAAGTCCCTTTTATACCTGTCTTCTCATTTGAAGAACAGGAAGGTCCCATCTACCATCAGGTGCTTTTAGATTTATAACTCAAATGAGCTTTGTAAAATATAAGTTCCATTACTAGTATTACATGACATGCAGAGTAATGTCCACTCCAGAGGTGAAGCAGGTGAAACCTCACAACGGAGCAAGGAAATAGCAATCTATTCTCTGTAGGATGAATATAAATATCGTCTAAACAAATCAACCTATGTAATAGAACTGAACCAAGTGCAGGCTTTAAATTCATTCCCCACTCCGAAAATCTGTTTATTATGTATAACACTAACAGACTAAAAAGAAGACTTGAAGTGAACATTCACAGATTCGTGGAGTAGGTCTAACTGCTTAATCATAAAGTGACCCAAGCACAATTCAGCAGCAGCTTCACTGTTTCTCACTGCATTAATGTAATCAGAACTTGTCAAACAGAAAAATAAAGTATGCTGCACTTTTAAGGGAATTTTATGCAATGCATTTACATGCAGAAGAAATTTAGAGATATGGAAGAATGAGCAGAGCAGACCACTTTCAGTACTCAGAAGAAACCAACATTTTAGTATCCAAGCAACCAGAAAGATGATATAATTCCATACAAGTTGAAAGCTGTGGTTCTCTAAAATTTTATTAGGTTATCAGGACAGATTTTGTTTCTGAGAGATAAGAAGCTCTTCTTCATTTCCAGCGAGTTTGAGAAGTATGGGTGTTTTTTTTTTTCTTTTTCCCCTATACTTTTTATGTCATGTTTCTGTACTTTTTGTGTCATATTTGAAAACTTTTTATGCTTTTGTTCCAAGAGAGTAGGTGTTTACAGCATGATTTGACTCTGATTTAATGAGATCTGAAGCTGAAAAGGCTGTAAATCAACACTTCACTGTATCAGTTCCAGCTTTTCCGGGAAAATTATGCAAGAGTTTCTAGCGATTCTCCTTTGTTCTTTTCTGCCAGTCCACACCAGGCTCAAGTTTCTAACAACGTAAGTTTGCAGTTGTTCGAAATCCTGTAACTTACACTATTACAGTAAAATCTAAAATAAAGACAAAATAAACCAAAATGTATTTAACTCTTGTGACCTTTGCCTTCAAAGGAACAGCGTTTAATCCTTCATGTTAATCACATTACTTCTTCCTGCTCTCTATCCTCCAAGCTACAGAAACAGAACTGGGCTGAAGCAGTGGAATAGTAGATGTAGGGAAC